AGAGAGAGAGAGAGAGAATAGTCACAAACTCAAAATGTGTTGCAGGCAATCGATGGGCTTTACTGTGTTGGCGATAGCTGCTTTCCTGGACAAGGGGTCATAGCAGTAGCATTTTCTGGCATCATGTGTGCGCATCGAGTGGCTTCAGATATTGGTAAGTGGCATTTGGCTTCATAGCGACTAATTTGCTTTCGTATCACTTATGCCCTGTCTGCTCATGTTTGTTTTGCATGGGAACTTTAGTTTAATCTGTGTTATTTGTCAGGACTTGAGAAGAAGTCTCTGGTGCTGGACGCTGCCTTGCTGCGATTGCTTGGCTGGTTAAGATCAATAGCCTGAATTTCAACAAGCATTTTTGTAAGATCCTGAAAGTTACAAGGAGAAGAAGCCGCAGCTGTAGTTGGTTTGATAGATAGATAGAGAGAGAGAGATGAATGATGAAGTGGGCTCTTGGTATCACTGATCAAGTGAGTTGCAGGCGCGCCATGGCTAGAGATGGCTTGCAGTTTGTGGATAGATTTATCACAATGTGATTTCATGAAGCTTTTCAAAAGGGTTCTGTGCCGTCGTAGGTGTTATTGCTGTACAGTGTTATGAGGTCTTCTCTTCTTCAATTTAATTTATAGTAGTGATATAGTTCCACCAATTTCTCATGAGTTTGCAGTAATGTTTTTCGCTAGGATATTTGTTGGGTCTTGGTCCAAAACCTGTATTCGGGTCTTGGTCGCGGTCTGGGTCCAGCCGGACCCAACCTGAATAATATGGGTATATGTGGGTAAATGCTGTCAATACGTTTGTTTCTTTGGAATTTTCAGTTATTATGTAAAGCAGTAAGGAATGTTAGTATATGTAATATGTGGGTATTCATGAATGTTGTACAATACTGTAAATGTTGTCAATAATATAGGCATATGATGGTAAAAAAATGGGCTACAAAAAAAGAAAAAAAAAAAGAAGCTCATAATGATAGAGTAGAAATAAACCCGACTAGATCCGGGACCTGATGGGTCCCCCGACCTCGGGTCCTAGTATGGGTCCAAATTTTGGTCCTGAAAGGTCGGGTCTTAGTCCAAAAGCTGGACCCGAATACTATTAGGATTTGGTTCCAGCCGGACCCGACCTGCCGCCACCCCTACCTTAGAGAGAGAGAGAGAGAGATGCTCAACATGGAAACTTAAATGCTCGCATTTATCCCTGGTATGAGAGAGATGCTCATTATGGGATCAGATAATACTTAAAAAAATGAGAGAGAGAGAGATGCTCAACATGGGATCTGATATTCTTAAAAAAAAAGAAAAAAAAATCAGTATACATGCATTGTATCCCTGAGATTTTCTTCCAGCTACAAACAATGGTGGATGCCGACCCTGGATCCTTTTTTATTATCATATTCATCACACAAACAGAAAACCCATCCATTGGATTTTCAACAGAAGTCATATTTGTCTACGAAACACTGACATTAATTTACATGTGAGACCATCACAGAACATGTAAAACTGTTGAGGGATCTTTCTTATAATCCCCTCACAATGTCTCTCTAGCTGAAAACTCAAAACTCAAAAGCCTTTTGCATGTTGAACTCTCTAGCTGAAATTCAAAGCCTTTTGCATGTGAAGTTGAACAGCAATTTTCTGGATCAGTGATTCTTTCATCTTTGAAAGCTCTCACTCTCTCTCTAAGCCCGCAGTTTCATCCGTCGTAGAGAGATGTACGCCAAAAGGCGATAGCCGAATACCATGATAATCATCGCCCATGCTTCCTTCATTCCATTATCTAGAGCCACCCCATTGACTGATCTAAAAATGTGGTTGTACTGGACCTTGAGCAGCAGCCTGTATGTGTGATAGTTGAATGAAATATATCGAATCCACGATATGAACACCGGAACCCCCTGCAACATATAAAGTCCAATGTGCTCAGTATTGCATAATTAAAAAAAATCTGACTCAAGCTCGGACTCGCCCAAGTGACTCGAACCACCGTATGCTATACCTGAACGAAGAAGCCGCCTGCCAGCATGAAAGTCATGACAGTTACAGAGGCCAAGGTCGTTGCCTTCTTTATGTCCATTAAACTTGCACCAATCGCCTGTCCCATACCCTGAAGATGGGGATGGATATCATATAATGTGTGAGATTCAAAACTTATATGGCATATAGAAATCAACAAAATCCTCCTTTCTACTTTCTCACTCTTCAACGCTTTTATGCAGGATTTTAACCTTTAAGTTCATCTCAATCCGAAATATGAACCAAGGGAAATATTAACACTTCGAAAAGGGTTCAGCTCTAGACTACTTTGTGTCCCTCCATTAGCAGTAGGGGTGTAAAAGGTTGGGTCATCCCGGATATGACAGCCCCCAAGTTAGAACCGGACATGGACCTTGACCCGGATCCTTGAAATGATGGATTGGGCCGGGTCATGGTCAAATACACACACACACAAATATTGGGTCGAATGGGGTTGTGTCGACCCCATCTTAGACTCCGAACCTAGCCCCGCCAGGTCCACCAAGAGGCTCCAAGCCCGGACCAGGTTCAAAAACCCCAATTATCACCCCTACAAAAAATGCATATGAATAGGGATGGCAACTGGTCGGGTCTAGCTACAACCCGGATCCAGACTTGAATTGTATTTGGATCAAGGTTTTGCACCCTGACCCGATCTTTCAAGTCCAAAATTTAGACCCATATCCGGACTCGAGGTTGGTCTACCCATTGAGTCCCAGGTTTGGTTGGGTCCATGACTTCAATGCCACCCTATAACTATAAGCTTCTTTTTTTCTTTTGGAAAAAGTTTATATAAGGATGCTACCTTATAATGTAGAACTACGGATGCCCTTCAAAAAACTATCGGTAAAGAGAGTTTTCATGTTGAAAAATTTGATTGATCATCTCGACATCCAGATGTATGACTATGAAAAATAAAAAGATTTTAAGTCTCAGAAATAGTGCATTTTAGAACATATTATATATGCCGTCCATTTTCAAGATTTTCATATGTTTATAGATCTACTTGATTTTAACCATTTTTTAAATTTAGAATTTTACAATTAGATATAAAATAGATTTTGAGATAATCCTAATACCATTTTACATCAAAATTATATACCATGATAAAATTTGAAGGGCACCGTATCTCTACACTTATGGAGGCGTCCGCATGCCAACTGTACCTTTTTCTTTATGCCTTTTTTTTCTTTTTACCTTCATATACCCATATGATTGGCAATATTTACAGTATTGCACAACATTTATGAATACCCACATTCCTTACTGTTTAATGTAATAATTGGCAATTCCTAAGAAACAAACGTACCAGCAACATTTATGAATACCTGTATTATTTGGTTGGGTCCGGCTGGACCCAGACTTGAATAGTATTCGGTTCTAGATTATGGACCCGGACCTGTTTCAGTTCCAAAATTTGGACCCATACCCGCATCCGAGGTCAGATCTATCCATCGGGTCTTGGGTCTAGTAGGGTCCATTATGTGCCATAGTTGCTCAACCATGAAAAGCAAAGAGAGAGAGAGAGAGAGATACCTGAGCAGCAACAATGCTCAAAAACACAGAGAGCATGCTTAGGAAGAAGGCAGTGGCACTGAGCTTCAAGCCAGCCATGAAGTAGACAATGAGCAAGAAAACAATGGGGAGGAAAAGGTCAAGTGGAAGGTCACTTATGTTCCTTGCCATGAAATAGGCACTCAGCCTATACATATCCACTGCCCTCTCCTTTGCTAGCATAGCCCTCTCTTGTGGGAATGTGAAGATGGCAGTGAACACAGGGAAGAAGCCCCAAAAGACAGCAATGAAGAATAGAAGGCCAGCCTGCAAATTATGATTTTCTTGTTATCATAACACATGCACTAATAAAAAATGGCCACAGTTTCCACGAGTCCTAGGACTCATACGTAGAAATGAGTCCCCTCTTAAAAATCTATTATTGAGATGGATTTTAGGCCTAATCTTTAAGGAATATATAATCTAGATTAATAATTTGTAAAACAATAAATTTTTAAAACTAAAAATAATAATGTCATGAAGAAAACATTTAGCCCATTGATTTTGTTTATGTTTTGGAGGGACATTCATTTGTATCTATCTTTAAGATGGATCTTTTATGTCCCCGTGAGACTCAAATGTAGTAATATATAATTTTTTAGTACAATTATAAAATGCTTCGTAGTGTGCTATATATATATATATATATACATATAGCGAGAGAGAGAGCGAGAGCGTGCACCTGGTCTTGGAGGCCTTTTGGGGTAGAAATGTCAGAGCGCCACCAAAGCAAGCCAAGGATGATGGCAGTGGAAAGGACCTGAGTGATCCTCATCCAACTGAGATATTCATGTCTTCTCTCTTTTAAACCCCTCTTGAAGAGGATAGAGAATTGCTGCCACCAACTTGCACCCCACTCTCTCTTTTGCTTCAACACCTTGCTCTTCGCCTCCTCCTCCAATACCCCAACCTTACACGACTTCTTCTTCTCTTTGTCTGCGGCTCTGCTTTCGTACGCCTCCACTAGATACTGTTTACTACAAATATTAGCTTTGAGAGATATAGATTACATGTTAATTACTTATAAAATTAGCTCCAAATATTAGCTTTGAGAGATATAGATTACATATTAATTACTTATAAAATTAGCTTTTAGAGAGAGAGAGATTTTTATCCATGGGTACAGATCTTACCCATCCACATGGAATAGACAATCATACACAAACACACATTTGTGTTAGGAAAAAGTTTATACACAGCCAAGGCTCTAAACAATCAAATTAGAGCCCACCTCAAAAATTTCACTAGAGGAGGTTGTTTTGATGCCCAAATATCCTCAAATTGATCATCTCGACATCAAGATGCATGGACATGAGAAAAAAATAGATTTTTGGAAATAGTGCATCTTGTAACACATTTTTTGACCGTTAATTTTCAAGATTTTCAAGTTTTCATAAATTGGAAGGCTTGGGGTGTATTACAAAGTTTAATATTTTATTTTTTTTAACTTTGAGTTTAGTAAATGAGACACTCAAAACTACCCAATTTGAAATTTGGTAGACAAAAGTGACTGTGACTTCCTTGTATATATTTTTCCGTTACATTAGCCATGGCAAAAAAAAATTATATCCTTTTGTGAAAGTATATTATCCATTTACTTCGGGTGGTAAAATACTAGTCCAGTGTAGTTTTAGGATTCAAATTTTGTAAATGCAATCTTCCAGCAACTAACTTAAGATTAAGCTCGTCCAATTTTTGGATGGTCAAATTTAGGTGTTTAAAGACTCACAATTCAATAGTTTATTTTAAAAAAAAAACCCTCATATCGCAATTTTAAAGTAGATCCCAAAAATTTCAGATAGAAAACATTCCTAGCTTTTTGGCCTTAAGAACAGATGTATATCGTGCTCTCAATGGAGTACTCTATACATGCTCTCATGAGGGATCACTAAACATCTCACACCCCAACCCAGACAGAAATGCACACATACACATTCACACACAACAGTATACACCTCATACCCTCAACCCATACTCTACGCACACAAATGCAACACATTTATCCATGAAACATGACACATACACCTACACATACAGAGAGTGAGAAAACGAGATACAAGATAGCCGATTTTTTCGAGTTTTAAGAGAAAGAGAGGGAGAGGGACTCACATCTAGCACATCTGATGGTGTGGTTTCCCATTTCGCGTCTCGGTCTCCGGGCTTTCGGTCTGCACTTTGTCCTCCAAATCCGACGGGATCGATACATCATTGATGTTTCCATTAGCGAGGTCGATGAGGAATTCAGCAGGGTTCATGGCAATCAGTGGAGAGCAACCAATGGAAGAGAAGTAGAGCATGGTCTCTGAGGCCTTTCCAAAGTAAAGCAAGCTTCCCTTTCCCAAAAGAATGAGCTTATCAAACTTGTGGAATAGCCTACTGGATGGCTGATGAATCGTAGTCACCACTGTTTTCCCAGCCTAATCACACACACACACAAGTGACCACTTTTGCTTCGGTGACATCCAAAAGAGAGGCTTCTATCTCACCTATTTTCATGAGAGAGAGACAAATGTGCGAAAAATCAAACCAGCTTCAGAAACCAGCCAAAGGCTGTTCCGAGTAACCAGTAAACCGACCGATTCAACTCGCCTAGTTAGGCAAAATCCCGTGTGGTCAAAAAGTGTTAAAAAATATAACAAATACAAAAAAAAGTGAAAATTAAAGCATACTTAGATAAAGAATGTCCAACCGAAGTTGAAAGTAGTAAAACAAGTGGCTTTTCTAAAATCTACTTATACTCAGAGGTATTTTTTAAATTTTTCAAAAAATAAAAAAAATTTAAAAATAAGTATTTATAGCCAAAACACTTTTCAATACTGGCCCAAATGATAAAAAAAACATTCAAAAGCACATTCCAAACAAATTTTTTATTTTTTTGAAATTTTATATATATATATTTTTTTTTAAAAAAAACCTCATCGGATCACCAAAACCAACAAAAACCAGAACATGCCAAAACCCGGTTCCGAGTTGAACCGGCTGGTTCTAAGTTGAAACCGGCTGAGCTTGGTAACACTGAAAGAGACTCACTTATGTTCATGAGAGAAAGAGAGAGATTATACCTCAGCTATGTTGTTCAACATTTGGACAATTCTGAGGGCTGTGGTGGAGTCCAAGCCGGAGGTAGGTTCATCAAGGAAGAGCAATGAAGGGTTTATAAGGATTTCATTCCCAATGCAAACTCTCTTTCTTTCACCCCCCGAAACTCCTCGGATGAATGACCCACCAATCACAGTGTCTTGGCACCTATGCCCAATTTGTATCATGCACAGTATGAGAGAAAATACGAAAAGATAAAGGCAAAAGTTTATATAAAGTAACAACTTTAGAAGCCGCAAAATGCTAAATAGAAAAGAGTGTTTCGAAATTAGAATACTCATCATCTCGACCTCAAACTGTATAGGTATATAAAATAATAATAAAAATTGAGCCGCAAAAATATTGCATCATGGAATAAGTTATTTGGGCCGTTTATTTTCAAAATTTTTAAATATTCATAGATCTATTCTATCTACACTGTTTTCATAATATTAAATTTCATAATTAAGACTGAACATGGATTTTCAAGCCATTTTAAAGTTTCCAAAACCGAAACTATATCTTACGACCAAAGTTTTAGGGGTGTGCCTTGTATACTATGAGGTGGGCACCTTATACAAACTTTAGCCAAAGATGAAATATAAATTTAAGTATTTGTAATAGGAGAGTATACTATGAGACTATTTTAATTCTCTAAAAAGAAGTAACTATCGCTTTAAGCTATTAGATGTGAAATTAGGCTGCTGGAAGTATACCATTGAATGAGGGAAAGGGGTTGGAGTTGTGGTGGTAGCACCCCATACGTTAGTACCACGTTGTGGTTTCCATTCCTACTAATACTTTTACAAAATCTAACTCTTAAGCTATTTGAAAAAATAAAATGGGTCGGGCCTATCTTCCCCCACTTAATTACCCCCAAAAAAAAAAAAAGTGTACCATTAGCTGCGCTCTAAAATAAATTTGATCAAATTTTGGCACAAAAATGACAAATCCCAACAATTTTTAGATACTTGGGTTGCTTGTGACACTTGTATATACAAAAGATAATTTTCTTCTTGTATTAAATCTCATTTGTAAATGGACAATTTGTCAATGAATTGCATCATTTTCTTGGAAATAAACTATAAATGAGTCATAATTTGGTAATTTGGAGAGCATTGTGGAGCCTAATTACTTCTATTTTGGAAACTAAGCAACCAAATAGTTACAACTTCATAAACCCAAATGTGGAAGCTTAGTGACAAGTACAGCTATTTATCATAAGTTTAATATATCATTAGATTATTATGTTTTTTCTTATGGAATGTATCAAAATATTATTATGTTTTTTCTTATGGAATGTATCAAAATATTATTATGTTTTTTCTCATGGAATAAGCGTAAATCCCCTATAGAAAATTTTTACTTAGGAAAAATTCTTTAAAATCTGGTGCCATATTTAGATATGAGTACTTTAGACCTACTATTTAAGTAAGTTCGAAATTTCTTCCAAAATTTAAACTTGAGATGATAAATTCTCAAGCTATTTTTTAGGCAATGGTTGATTACTTTTTAAAATTCAAAATTTTTAGCTACCTCTAGTGTTCATTCAAATCTTCAAATATGATGGCACTTTGTACTACTTTTTATGGGACTCATGCATGATTAATTAAAGGAAAAAGTTTATATAAGATTGTTACCTTACCTCTATTGCTATGGATGCACGCCAAAAATCCATTGGAAAAGGTAGTTTTAATGTTGAAAAACCCTTTGATTGATCATCTCGACATCGAGATGTATGACCATGAAAAATAAAAAGATTTTAAGTCTAAAAAATAGTGCATTTTACAACATATTATCTACACAGTCCATTTTCAAGATATTCATATGTTTATAGATCTACTTGATTTTACCATTTTTAAAATTTAAAATTTTATAATTAGATAT